GTTAAAAAACGTATTTCACATAAAATTAAAAGTCTATAAAAGTCCATGATAGATATTAATAATATTATTTTTCTTAAATAGGTATACGATATATATAAATATATAACATATATTTGGTGAGTGTATAAATCACAGTGTGTTCAATGCATGTCCTTCCATGTCACCGCCGTATTTGCCCAAAACCATTTTTTGTGATTTTATTTGGATTTTAATTTTGTTGTGGCTTGTACTTGGCTTTTACATACTCCCCTTAGTTGCCCCATCAGATGCCGTGCCGAGGAATCCCACTCCCACCTGCCATTTGCCTTTGGGCCACTGCGATGCTGATGCTGCTGTTGATGCCACGGTGCTTTGGTGCTACCTGGCTTAGCATTTTAGCGATGCATAATTAATCTGCGAGCAAAATGGAATGAGTGTGAGGGGCTCCCTTTCACTCTATCGTCCCCAGCGCCACTTCAATAAAATATCTTTTATTTTATTTTTAGTGCAGCTTTTCACTGCTGAAAAAATGTTTTTCATGTATCTGATGATGCCCCCTTTTTGTTGGGGGGGTGAACAACATTGGGATGGTGATGTAAAAGCGCAAAAATGTGACGGGCACGCTTGAGTGCGGCTCTCGTTCCCCCATGTTTTTAGCCCTTAAACCTACTTGTTCTTCGTTTTGGGCCCAAAACCCCTGGCCATGTTGTGTATTGTTTGTCAAACAACTTGAGAGCCGAAAGCGGCCCCTTACCTGTGGGCGTGTTCCTCAATGGGGGTAATGACTTATGGACTATCCCAGATATATCTGATCCCAGCGTCTTGGTTAATCAAAGGGTTAAGCCAAGTCAAGGGGGTTAAGGAATAAGCCATGCATGAGCGGCGGGTCCATTGTTGCGTGGCCTTTTTAATTGGCCAGCCGGATGTCGGGTTAATGTTGCTGCAAATTCTTTCGCACATTTAATTATTCGCCGGCAACAAAACAAAGGCGAACGCATTACATTTTTAATTTGGGAGCGGAAGAGCGGGCGCCCGGAAAAAACTGCTTAATTTTCAGGAGTGTTTGCTTAGATTATTTCATTAAATTGACCAGAGACGATGGGGCAAAGGACAAAGCTTTCTCGGCTGGCCTTTGTCCAGGATCCGGAATCCGGGATTCAGGATTCAGGATCCAGGACAATGCCGACAGAGAGAGAGAGCGGACAAACAAAAGTGTTGGCGGATGGCAAAAGCAAAAAGTTTGGCCAGACTCCCAGGACTCCTGCCATAAACGCCAAGGACTTTGGCCTGCGAAAGGGGGTGTGGAACGTGCACTTAATTAAAGATAAGAATTAACTGCTGATTAGTAGTTCTTCTTTACACTTGACACTGTGCCCTGCCAGTCCTTCTTCTGGTCCTTGTAGTGGTAGTCCTTCCGATAGTCCCGCTCCATGTCCTAGTCCAAGTCAAAGTCCAGGCACGTACTCCTCGGCGTCTTCGTCTTGGCTGCCGCCTAACGAGTTTTTATTTTTCTTTCCCAGCCCGCCGAAAAAGTTTATTTAGCACTGCCTGCTTAGGGTTTTCAAAGAGCTAATGTAGCCAAATGATTTATGCACTTGCCCAGACACATTTTGGGTGGGGTGGAGCACATGCACTGGCCGCATTTGCGATAATTGATGTCTAGGCCTTCTTTTGATGTCCTTACTGGAAGTACCCTGATTTCTGAGCCAAGAATGCCGAGCACTTACTTTTTCATGTTAATGGACTGAAACTGCCAGTATAACTTAGCCACTAAGTATTCTTTTTTATCAACTATATGCTCATGGTTCTTACAACAAAATACATAAAATTCTTTGTTTAATAAACTTTAAGAAAGGTTAATGACTTAATTTACTGATCATATATTTCGAGGCTTAGTAAATCGTCACGCATGATAAAAACATAAACATTTTTTTTTCAGTGTAAACCAAATCGTTTGTCAAATAAACTAGTGCTAAGATGCTAAAGACCACTCAAACATACACAGCTCTCCTGTATTTTTAACAATTTCTCAATGTTTTTTTAACAATTTCATTTAAAGCGAATTCTTCAGAGCAAGGAATAAATATATTTTTTCCAAATATTCAGAAAGGGCATTGCCAGCATCGACTATGATTTACCTCCAGCTTTTGTGTATAATTTAATGCTCCTACGTGTTAATCACGGCAATTAATGTATGCCTCTGCCTTTGTCCCCCCTCACACAACTTTCCCAGCCTCCTCGATTGTCCTTCGAATACATACTTCACTACGGTACAGATACAGATACAGAAACAGCTACGGGAACAGACATCCCAGACAGACACAGAAACAGAACGAGCTGGAGATACAGATGCAGACCCATAAATATCTGGCACGTTCAACAACTCGAAGGGAAAAACTTTCGTTGGCACTTGGCTTAAATGCCTCATTTTCCAGTCATTAAATTTAGCTGGGCGCACACTGACCAATTTCGGTGGCCATAAAATCTTATAAAAATGTTGGTGGCAATTCGCCTACTAGAGAACTACAATATGTCCAAGTCAACTTGTTATTGACTCTGTGTCTCGTTCCGCAGAGGTCCTGAAATATGTTGACAATGGCGCCAGCAACAGAAGCTAAGTATAAATACCCTATCCACAAAAAATACAGCCCCCCATTTATGTTCTCAAATTTTCAACCCCTCAAGGCATTTGACTTTTTGATATGCTTCCTATATCTTTTTTTGGAAGCATCAGCAAAAGTCCTTTGGTTCGTTTTCTATAGTTTTTTTTCGCTTAACATTTCCTGAAGCGAATTGGGTGGGGGGAGCGCGACAAATCAAAGCGTTACAAAGCTGGAAATGTGTGGAAAAGTTGCAGTGCAATTTATTATACGCTTTTGATCCTGCGATTCGGGCTGATGTTGTTTTTCTAGCTTTGGCGTTGTTGCTGGCACTGCGGAAATGTTAAATATTTGTTATTGCAGTCTAATGTTTCCGGTTTTACTTAAGACAACAGCCGGGGAATTTTGAGGTCCTGCGGTAAATGATGGAACATTTTTATACTTCTTTTTATATCCCGTATAAAAATATTTATAGAAAATGTTAAAAATGGTAATGGTTAACTAACATAGTACTAGCATAAAATTTTTCTAAGATACTGGGAAATATCTTAAGTTCAATAGGTAAAATGGTACAAAGGAACACTCGTAATTATGTTTTAAAAATATTTCTTCCTAATCCGGAAAATTGCTTCATATTTTCAATGCTAACATATTTTAAGTAGGTATTTCTGATATACCAGCTCTTCTCAAATTTTAAAGCTATAACTTCATAGTCTTAAACCCACTAATATACCCAATATAAAAAGCTATTCAATATAAAAGTATATTTTCTGGCAATGAAAACTATTAGCCCCAGTCATAAATCTTGAAGCCCAAGGACTGAGGGCCTGGGGGACATGGATGTCCCCCCCCCCCCCAGGATGGGGAGTGGAAACACCCGATCCGACCAAAAGCCTGGTTCGACTAACCGCACAAGGGACCACAAGAACCGAGCTCCATTTGGCCGCGCAGACAGTGGCAAAGTCAGGGCCAGACATGGCACAATTATGACAATTTCTGATGCATAACGCTGCATCCATAGAGCTTTTAATGCAATAAACAAGCGACTGCAGCGTCATTAACACTGACAGGAATCGGGGGCGGGTTGGCGAAGATGCCAAGGAGTGTGCCCGGCCTTTTGTCGTGCACTAATTGTCTGGCCTGGCCGAAATGTGCAGCGCATGCATGCAACGCAACGCTCCAATTCAGGTGTGTGTCAGTTGGCCGATGTCGCCGCAAAACACTTTGCCGGCAATTGTCAGCTGGCAGTTGGGTACGCGTTATGAGCAGTGATGGGAATGGTACGGGTATTATTACAAGGTACAACATTAAATCGATGTTTAATATTAAATGGTTTTTTGGTTAAAGATTTATTTAAATTTTTACATATTTTTTAGATTCAAACCCTAAAGTTGATAATTATATACTCTCTGCTTAAAAATCATTCTTAAACATGTAACATTGTTAGGAATTCAAAATCACTGATTTAAGAAAAGTAAAGTGCGAAACAGAAGTTTTCAGAGTTTTGAAATCCATTTAAAAAAGGTGTCTAAAAGTATGCAACAATTTATTTTAAAAATACATTTTGAAATCTTTTAAAAAGGTGGCTAAAAGTATGCAACAATATATTTTAAATGACTAAACAGAATGTGTTTGCTACAAAATACGACGTTATTACTTAAACTAAAATAAATTGTGTTAAGCCCCTGTGCTAATTTTAAATATTTATAAATATATATAAATAAATATTAACAAAATTAAATGATGGCAATGTAAAAATTTCGATTAATATTAAAATCGATCTTTAATTCTCATTTTGTAATATTTATTTTAAAACCTCTTCGTTTTTCCTTTTAGTAATAAGTTGCCACAGGGGTAAATCAATGGTATTTCGTTTTTCAAATAACAGTGCTAATTACAATTTTCTTAAATTTTTCCTATAGGGAAAGTAAAAGTATTCGAAGGCAGGTACTCACGAGTATCTCACCGTACAACTGCTTACCCACTCACCACCACTGCCATCGAGTAGTAGTAGCGTTGAGGCCGTTGCAGTTGCCAGTTGCTAGTTGTAGCCAAACTCACTTAGCAGCTGACAATGACAGGCCCCCTTATTTGCACCCCCAGTCCCCCACAAGTTCACCTGCGTTAATAGCCGCCTGCCAGCCAAGTGTCTGGCAAAGGCTTTGCCCAGTTGCCTAAACGACATTGTCACTTGCGGATGGTTGGGCGCTCCATCTCCATCTCCTGCTGCTCCTGCTCCTCGTCCTGGTAGTCCTGGTCGTCCTGGCGCTTCCTGCGGCTTCTGCAGTCGAGTTGCCATCGGTTTATGGCAGGTTTAACACCAGCCACAATGAAACACTGTGCTGTGAAGTGATAAACATATGCGCGTTTTGGCACAAATCAATTTGCAATTATAGTGAAACGTGAACTGAAAGACGGCCAAAATGTCCAACGGCCAAATGACAAATCAGCTGAATTTGGAGCATCCGCTGCTGTCAGCCATTCCGGGAAATAATTATGCGTAAGCCACGGCCAAAGGCATTCGGTGTGTCTATAAATGTCTCCTATAACCCGAAGTCAAATTAAATTCCTTGAAATTAATGAAAAACGCAGTTCATATTAAGAGAATTTTCATTTGAAACAGAAGGCAGAGATTTATATTCCTCTTTTTGATCTTAAAAAGAAAGGAAAGTGTTTATAGTACGTTGAGTTTAATACATATTTCATGCAAAATATAGTAGCTTTCCTTCACATTTATATCTAAACATTAAAACCATTTGAACATTGGTTTTAAGAAGGTGAAACCTCTTCAAAACAATTATAAAGATTTGTAATGTAGTTACATATTCATATCAATCGATTTAATCGCTCTGAAGTAGTACTCATAAGTATAACCTTATAGCCTAGTTGCTTCAATCAAAAGCAACAGGATTAAGTGTTGCCTTTGGCTTAAAGACTTAATGATGAAGTGTCGGAAGCCACTTCCATAGACGGAGACCCCAAGCCTAAAAGGGACCGCAGCGGGCGCGGACTGATACCTCAGGCACTTAGCCGGGCTAATGTGGGACACAAACAGGAGCGGCATCTCCGTCTCCGTCTCGTCTCGTCTCGGCCACTCATTCCCCGTCCCATCTTCTCCTGCAGGCAAACGCAGCGCATGCATTACTATCCCAACCACTACTACCCGAGCAACTACTTCCCGGGCCATTACCACCAAGGACACCAAGGATTCCAGGGGCATCCGGGGCACCAGGGGCATCCGGGGCAACTGGGACGACCCCCGCTCCAGGCGGCCGCCAGCAGCCACAACGGTGCTTATGCGGCCACGGCGGCTGGCAGCGGACACTCTGGATACGGGTAAGCAAAGAGCCACCCCTACACAGAGAGAAAATCAAGGCGATTTTGATATTAAATGATATAATAATAATTAACGTTTTAGAGACAACAACTGGTTATTTTATCTGATAAACACCTTTAGAACATTTGGCTAGCTTAAATAAAAGTTTAAATAATTTCCAAAAAGTTAAAAAGGCTTCTAAAATCTTTATAGTGAATTAAGGACATAAAAAACAGTTTGACATTGTTGGAAAAATGCAAATTGAAATTGGTTTTTTGAAAAACAAATATTTCAATTTCGAATTTTTTTAAGCTTTTAAAAAACTTTTAAGGGATACGAAAGTACAAATAAAATAATTCTATATGTTGGTACTATCTGAATTGAACAGGGAAACACGTTTTATGAGGAGTTCTTGTCAAATATTAAAATTTAAATCTTTATAACTTAGGGGATAGTATTATTTTGGCTACAGCTTTAAATGTTGATGAGTATATTGAAATGTTAATATATCACTTCTAATGATGCTACTAGGTATCTAAACATAAAAATTGAAATCTTTTTATTTTTAGGAGAGGTATACTATATATCTATATTTGTAAAAATGGTCTAGTTTGCGGAATTTTCTTTCTGTGTAGTGGCAGCCAAAGTCAAACCGGAACCCCAATCCCAGTCCAAACAGCGAACCCTAATGCAAGTTTGAATTCGCAGCAGCATCGAGCCCTCCGTGGAGTATGAGCTGCCACATGACCCACCCTCGGGCAGCTTCTCCTCCTACCACCCCAGCAGTGCGGGCAGTGGTCCCGCATACCCACCGCACCACCCACAGGAGGCGCCACCACCGCCTCCACCCACCAAATCCTCAAAGAAATCGAAGAAAACCGCCGGCTCGGTGATGAACGCACTAACGCTCCTCTCGTTCTTCTTCTTTGTGAATCTGCTGCAAAACTGCCTAAAGGATCACATGGCGGACATGAATCCCACCGTGATGGTGCTCACCGCCAGCGGGACTCGCAACCGTTTCAACAAATTAGCCGAGATGAACTCACGCGAACAAACCTCCACCACGGCCACCGAATCGGCGGCTGCATCATCTTGGAATCTGAATCTGAATCCGAATCAAAATCCGAATCCGAATCAGGCTGCTTTAGTTCCGGCCGTCGAGCCCAGTGTACCGCCCTCTATTGTTTTGCCCACGGTGGTGCTGCAATCGCCCTACAGTGGTGGCATATCAGAGGTGGCTAATAAACCCCATCAGCACCAGCAGTCGAACCCTCAGCAAAAACCCCATGATTATCGTCCCCACATCGTGGATGATGATTATAATTACGGGCAGCGCAGACCTCCTTCTCAGACCACCTACGATTTCTATCCTAATCGCACACACATCGACCACTCGTCCCGGCCCGACTTTGAATCGGAGTCGGTGGGGTCCGATTACTATCAGCACCACTACAACCCGTATGCCGGCACAAATTCCCGTCGGCATCCTTGGTCTTATGGCAGGCAGCGTTACTCATCCGCACCGTGGTCTTCAGCTTCGTTGGGCGCTCAGTCGGGCGTGAGCTCTTACTTGGATAATGCCCAGCGCCGGCAAGGTGATGATGACGATGGTCATGGTTATGGCTATCGGGATGGGAATGGTGATGGGGATCGGGATGGAGGGTACTGGGATGGCGATGAGGATGAGGATGGTCAGCAGCGGCGACGCGGCGATGCTTTCTATACTCGCACACGCATTAATTGAATGCAAGAATACCGCGCGCACATTTCTATGTTGCCTGGTGGGGATTTGCTGCATTAACCCATTGCACAAAAATGGGGTGGAAAACTGTGGATGGGCAAGATGGTTTCAATGGATTTTTCAGTGCACCATAACCAGCGTTTATGGCTTGGAGCGGTTTATGTTCTTTAGATATTTTAAGTGTGTTACATATTATTTTTTTGGTATTTTAATTTTAATATTATTCAAATTTATGGCTTAGAGCGCTTTATAGTTTGTAAATATTTTAAGTTTGTTAGGAATTATATTTTCTGTTTTAATTTAAATATAATACTTTAATATTATTCAAATTTATGACTTAGAGCGCTTTCTATTTTCTAGATATTTAAAGTTAGTTATGAACTAATTTTTTCTGGGTTAATTTAAATATAAAAGAAGTTTGTATTATAATTACTACCAAATAAACCAATAAACAAGACCTAAATCTCAGTTTTAAATGGCTATGATTAATATCCCTTTAGGTTACAATGTAAACATTTACTTATTTTACTTTTAGAAAATATAGTCGATGCCCCTGGCAGCTAATACTATAAGTTCCTTTGTTGCTTATTGTATTGTCAGGAACATCACAAAATAATAAAAACTTTTTAAGGAAATTGAAAATAAAATACTATACTTAAAAATGTTGTAAAAATGTTCTAACGGTTATTTTTAATCATATTAAAAATATATTAATTATATTCTTAAGAGCAAACAATAGATAATAATTCGTTTTATGGTACCTACATTTATAACTTAAAACTCCCACCAACAATGGGTTAAAAATGCTAAGCTTACATGTATTTATAATTAAAAGCAAACAACGCGCATAAGAGCTGACAAAAAATGAATGGAAAAAGGCGAGGCGGGCAGACACACACAGTCAGTTGGAATGGTAATGAAAATAAATGCTAATTTGTTGCACAACAAATTAAAAGTGCCCCCAGACTTTGCTTGGCTAAGACTTTATTTTATTGCCTGCCCCAGCAACTAAGTTGCTATTTTCCCAGCTCACCCTACTTGTTTTCCTGCTCTCCTGCTTTTCTAATTCAAATGTGGTAGATTTTTACCTAGCCACCATGCTTGTATCTACTCACTTATTTAGTGGGACTTCGTTCTTGGGCTTCACAATAATCACGACCAATGAGCTGCAAAGGCAAACTTGTGTCTGCTGGTATTCGTAGGAGGGGGTAACTTTAATTAACACATTTAGCGCAATTTAAAATGCATTTTGCCATTTGGTGAGCGTGCACTACAAACAATGCTATCAATTTCAACAACTTTGATTAAACGTCATTTGCAGTTTGCCATTGCATGTGGTGGTGGCTGTTTCCCCGGGCTGGGCTGTGGAAAATGGGGAAAGGCTGAAGTTGAAGCTGGCAATTGGCATTGTCAGCGCTTTGCTTCATTTGCAATTAAATGCACGCAGCAGATGCAGTAGTTGCAGCAGATGCAGCAGTTGCAGCCGTTGCAGTTGCAGCTGCATTTCGGCCTCAGTTTCAGTCTCGACACTCAAAAGAGTAATTTAAAATTCTCTTGGCTGCCATTTTTCGAGGCCCTTTCTTCGCTTTGTGTCGGTGATATGGCTGGTTGGAGTGCCACTGCCACCGCCATTGCCTCTACTGCATCCAGTTTTCCACGCATCGCGACTGGCTGACTGACTGACTGGCTCACGGCGAGGTCCACGGTGCGTATGAGTTATGCAACGACTGCATGGAGCAGGAGCTGCTGCTGGAGCATCGGGAGCACCACCTCCTGGCCAAATGAAGTTAATATAAATTTTGCCTTACAACGGCAAACCGGCAAACGAACGTGTGCGGCTCGAGCGTTTATATATACGGCCCTCTGCGCCCCATATATTTAAATAAATTTATGACTTTAAGTGCAAAGTGGCAGCTAATGCGTGATTTTTGGAGCCAACACGAGCACGTAACTGGCGTAAGTGCAGCCCAATGGTAGTGAGGTGGGTCCAAAATTGGATACTAGCAAGGTGATCAAACCAGTTTATGATGACCAAAGACCTGAGGATTCACTCGTTCATACTCCAGATCAAGATCAATGAAATTAAACATTTTGTAAAAAATATTTTTGTAATAGAAAATATATGTTTGGTTTTTGAGGTTTAGCTAAAAAATAATATTTTAGCTTTCAGCAAGAAACATACGTGTATACTTATTATATTGTTAATAATCAGCAAAGCTAAATTTTATTGTCAATTTTCGGGGTAGTGAAATAATAACATTTTAAAGTCCTAAAGTCCCACACCCAAACTTCAAAGATAATATCTTTTGGAGCATTAGTAAGACATTTCAATTAATCACACTAGATCAAATTAAAATAAATGACTTAAACTATTGAGTCACAAATTTCAACTGAGAGTAAGTTTCCCCGCCACGAAGGAAAAAGTAAAAGTAAGGAAAGTATTGCATTCCTTTATGTGCATTTTAAAATATTTTATTAATTAAAAAGCTTTTCATTACAACTGAATGGTTTATAAATTTAACCAGTTACCCTATATTAAATAATATAATATTTTCTGTAGGCTTCTTGCCAGCATTGTCATAACATCAATTATTATGCTGACATTAAAAATGTCGCTTATTAAAACAAGGATAATTAACTTTCAGATATTATAGTGCTTGACTAGAATGTAGAGCCATTTCATGTCAGCGATATTGGCTTCTTAAAAATAGCTCCACGATAAAAGCAAAAGTGGCTATACCATAGCCAATTCCCAAAACAAACCACAACCACATGAGATCCTCAAAGCCTATGGGACCTTTTATTTGCCTGGGACTTGGATGATGTGTTATATTGAGCGTTTTCCTCACAAAGTAGGTCGATTTATTTATCCAATGTTTTACAATGCCATTTTCCCGAACCTTCCTTAAAAATCTTGAAAGTGGCCAGTCGTATATTGAGTTGTTTCCCAGGATAAACATTCTGGGTATGCCCGACATGACAGTCAAATCTTTTGAATCACAGAGAACCCGTCGTTTAATTGATTTTTGATAATTATCCAGAACATTCCATTTTTCTCTCAGCATAATATAAGCATAGGTGTCATTTAACGAGAGCATTAAATAGAACGATTCATCACTGTTCATGAATATGGCTCTAGGTATTTCTTGCTTAAAGAAGTTGTCGCCGAATTTTTTTTCAATATAGGTGCGAATGGCATGTCTCATAACTACAGACAAATTACTGCTACGCAATTCATCGAAATTCTCTACTTGCGGATGGTGGCTATGCGTTGTTAGTAGAGCGCTTAACTTGCAGCTAAAAAAGCTGCTAAAGACCAGTCCAAAAAAGCTAATGGCCAAAAAGAGTTGTCTAAGTGAAAGGCTGGATCGTCGGCTAATAGGAAATGACAGTCCCAAAATGGCCCTAAAGGCACGAAGATTCAGAAGTGGATTTAAGGAGGTCAAACGGAACGCATGGCCATGAAACCGATGGGTCACCATCATTATAATGGTTTCCACAACCACGAAGGTGACATAAACGGGTAGAAGGTATAGAACCAAACGTTGGACCTTCAGTTGCCTGAGGACATCTCCTACGGTCTTCTTCCTGCTGCATGGTACAACTACAATCAATGAGGTTATGTCATATGGATTCAAATTTCTCACATCTGTACCATTGTGCGTAAGCTCCGAACGTAAGTAAATGTCCGGAATTGCCTTAGGGTCAACGGGATGCTGTTTTGAGGATCCCATGACAACGAGACTCAAATTGTACTTCTTGGCAAACACAATGATCTCGCTGTCTTGGATTCGACTTAGGTGTATTGATAGAGTATCGTTAGCCCAAGCGTAAACTTTGATAGAGGTTTCCGAATCAGGCAGCACGTTGGCCCTTCTGCCCTTAAAGTTAACTTTAAATATACGAAAAACTGATGTGACATTTTCGAGTCGAACAAAATGAGGGGTTGGAAATGCTTCTAAGCGCTGAACAATTGGAGTCTCCTTCTTTCCATAATGCACATCTATAACAATCATTTTAAAGAACTGCTTCGCATCAACTATAGTCAAGATCTCGTTAAGAAATTCCTGCGTATCTTTCTGATGGACCCATAATATTATTCGCTCCTGTCGCATTCCTTCAAAGCTTTCAGCCACATTCTCGAGAAGACTGATGTCGGAATCCCTGTCGATGCAAACAAAGCAAAGTCCTAGCGAACTGAAGTGCCCTCTGATCTGGACTTTAGCCAGGTGATTAAAACGTAGTGTTGGAATTTCTCTGCTGTTCCAGTCTTGAATGACACAGTCTTTAGACTGCTGATGATTTAGTATCAGCATTGTACTGATTGGAAAATCTCCTTTTATGTCTTCAATGAGTTTGCTGAGGAATTCCACGTGGGAACTCTCAGTCGTGACTCCAGTTAGGATGACAAATATTAAAATGGTGGACTTATCCATGTTTAACTACCTATTTCGAGTAGTGAAAAAGAATAACTGGAGAGCTCTGTATTTCTTAAGGAAACTTTTCTGCGCGGCACTGTAAATCGAGGATTGGCAGCTGTCCCTCGATTATGTATCCATATGCAACACCTTCAACAGAGCCCATTAGGTTAATAATATCTTGATTACTACTCGAAGTGGAATGGTTGGTAGATTTCTTCTAATTCATTTAAATTGTGACCTTTTCCATTTAAAACTTATTACGATTTTAAAGCTGCCAAAATTATTCTGTGTAACCTCATAATTGATCTCATAGTCCTCAAAAATTTCTAGGGTTACGTGGAAAATAGACCACCCTTCAATGTAAAAACATTAAATTTTATCTCACATGGAATTTATTAAATATTTATTTGTATTGGTAACATAATTCCTTTATTTACTTATAAAACAATAATTAGTTTGCAATAACATATATATCCAAAATATTAATATATGATATTTAATTATATTTGTAGCGTTTTAGCATATTATATGATTGCTTCTTCTTATACGTTTGTGAGTCCTTGCCCAACAGATTTCTATAACAAAAACTACAAATGATATGATGTAAGCAATGCCTAGAAGAATCCACAGCCATTTGAAATGATCAAGTGATAGTGGAATATGGGATTGATCCATTTTAAAACCTTGTAGAGATAACTTAATATCTGCTTTAACTTTATGAGCATATTTTTTAAACCACTGTTTGTCCAGACCTGAAACAGCCATATTTAAAATGAAATTGCGCATTTGGCGGCTAAAGATTGAGTTCCTTCGGAGGGCTATCATCAGCGGCACATTTTCAACGATCGTCAAGTTCTTGCCCTCACAATAAACTCTATGATTCAACTTTTCCGTAGCTTTTTTAAAAGCGCCCCAAGGCAATGAATGCACTAGAAAGCCAGCTCTAATTTTCACTGATTGGAGGAGATTGATTAATTTCAGAGTTGACATAGTCCTCACATTGGGGACTTCCTGTTTGAAAAAGTCACCATTTATTTCCCGCTCTATATACTCCCTGGTGAATCCATCCACAAAGACGGTCAGACCACTTTCACGCAACTCCGGAAAGGTCTCAACTTGCGGGTAATATGGCTTTTTGGTCAGAAAGGAGCTGAGTTTACAGGCAAAAAAGGAGCCAAAGAGTGTTCCAAATAAGCTCATCAAACAGAGCAAAAGTTGGATTGAACGGCTAGATCGATTGGAGACGGGAAATGACTGGCCCATAATAGCCCTAAAAGCTCGAAGACTTACAAGAGGGCTTGTAAACCTCATGCTAAAATTTGTTCCATTTATACGATTTGATATGTATATGAAAACCGACTCTACTGCAGTGAAGATAATGAAGAATATTAAGGCTGACCAGGTCAGAGTTCCCAAACCGAGCTCCTTGAAGATGTCCATGCCGCTCAGCTCCATTCCACATGGCACCACAACTATCAGGCAGTTTGTAGACACGGTTGTCACCACGTTTATGTAGTCCAAAGAGTTGTTCCTATCGAACAGGCGCAAGTTCATGTTAAGGTCATAGGTATCCTCATAGGTAATTCCAGTCGTATTCTGATGGGGTGGCCATTGCAATCGTAATGTTATATTGTACTTCTTAGCAAATTCTGAGATTATTCGTGAGCCTGGACCATATGTGGTATACATCTCGTTCGGAATAGCATTTGCAAGCCTTCCATGATAGTTTGCTGGATGGGGAAAAATGTCTTTTGAAGCAAATAGATTGCGCACCTTCTTGAAGTGCGGTTCGGGAAAAGGTTGCAAACGAAATCCGGGTGCTATCAAATCTGTGAAGGATTGTTCTTCGGTAATCAGCACTAACAGATTAATAAGTTGTAGACCCTTGACTTCATGAGAAATGTCCTGCATTACATCTGGATTTGGTCTTCGATGAATCAATAAAATTATTCGCTCCTGTCTTATTGTCTCAAATGATTTAGACAGAGTTTTCAGAAGTACTTTATAAGAATTTTCCGTTACGCACACCACACCCAATGCATTGTGGTTAAAAGATTTTTCAAAATTGATATCAGTCAATTCATTTGAACGGAGAGTTGAAACTTTCTCAGGATTCCAGTTCTGAAGAGAGCAGTTGGGTTCTTCAGTATGATATAATAAAAACAGTGTTTCAACGGAACGTTCATGGTGAACAATTTTAAGGAGCTGGTTTAAAAATGCCTCATGTTTATTTCCAATTCCTTCAGAAGGCACTTGTATTAATAAGAGTACCAGCAATATTTTATTTAATTTTAAGCTCATTATGTATCTTATTCCGAGAAGTTCAAGCCAAACTAAATTAAAATTGACTCTAATGTACTTCTTATTTTTATTTTCTAATTGCAGGTGCATATTAGATGGCAGCTGTCATTTTTGAATGGCGTGCACGTAGATAAACTAAGACGAATTTCATTACCTTAAAGGGCTTTCTTATTAAATGTTTTGGTATTGTCTACTTACAATCTTTGTTTGATATACTTCGGAGACCTCGATGTTAATTAGTTAAAAAAATTTAAGAAAAAAGACAATAGATTATGTTTTTATTAGCTCAAGATATTTGGGAGTTTAAAATGTTATAGTTTTATAAATAATTGCAGATTACAAATTCTTTAAAATAAGTATTCCATTACCCTTTCTGTAGTGCTTTTTTTGTTTCTATTCCCCATAACAATTTCCAATAAGAAAACTATAATTGCAAGTGAATAGCCACATCCAAGAACCAGCCACAGCCATGTAAAATAACTGAGGGATAAAGGTCTCTTCGTTGGCTGGTCGTGGTCTCGCAGAATCGTGTCGTTGTTGAGTACTTTTCTTATGGTATAGGGCACTAAATTTATCCAGTGCCTCATGATGCCATTTTCTTCAATCCGCATCAAGAACCTGAATAGATTTCTTTCCAATATAGAGTTATTCCTGACAATATAAGTCATGGGCAGACCTCGGATGATAGTTAGACCCTCGGAGGTGCATAACCAATTTTTGCCATAGATTTTCTGATATATATCCATGACTTGCCAATTCTCAGTGAACATAAAGTATGCATAGCTGCCGTTTGGAGATAGTATCATTCGTATACGTTCTATCTGGCTCACAAATTTCACATTCGTCAAGTTGTGCTTAAGGAATTCAGATCCAGCTTCACTGTCAAGGAAGGGCTTAAAAGTCGGTCCCACAATCACGTTTAATCCGCTGGCACGTAAATCCTCGAAGTTCTCAACGCAAGCATGTGTGGATTGCCTTATAAGCAGGGCACTCAGTTTGCAGCTGAAAAAATTGCTGAAGATCAATCCAAAAACGCTAATGGCCAGAAAGAGTTGGCGGAGCGAAAGACTTGAGCTGCGACTCATGGGAAACGGCATGCCTAAGATAGCACGAAAGGCACGGGGGTTCAACAGAGGATTTAGAGAGGTCAATCGGTAAGCTTTGCCGGATATCCTATAGGTTACCACAAGTATAAAGGTTTCCGCCAGCACAAAGATTACATATACGAAAAAAATATACAACAGCCACGAGTGCACATCCAAATGCTTGAAGACTTCCTCAACTATCCACTGTTTGCCACAGGGAACGGCAACCATCAGCGACGACATATCAAAAGGATTTAACTTATCCAGATTGCTGTGAATCCTAGTGTTCAGTTGAATGTCTGGAACTACAGATGGTGTCCCATCAATAGAGTCATCCACAACTCTGAGACTCAAATTGTACCTTGAAATAAACTCGAGTACTCCATAATCCTTGACTCGAACTATAGGGATAAATGTCTTAGAGGACAATGTTGCTTTGACTTTATTGGCTGAGCCCCAATTAGGCATCACATAAACGGTCCTTCCTTTAAAGTTCATATTGGGCGGATAAAAAATGGGTCCTTTAAGTTCGAATATGTCGATCCGATTAAAGTGTGCAGTGGGAAAGGGATCAAGACGTCGTACAGCTACTGTTTCCTTCGGTTCGTTCCGAACCTCTAGGATGAGCATTTGAAAAAACTGAAGTTCCTCCACTTGATTGGCAATACCATGAAGTATTTCCAGCGTGAGGTTCGTTTGAAACCACAGGATAATCCGCACTTGTCGCATTCTATTAAAGTTTTTGGCCAGGTTTTCGAGGAGACTCGTTTCGGTGTCATTGCAAATGCAGACAAGTCCCACAGCTACTCGGTTAAAATGTTTCCTGACTAACACAACATCCAGTTCGTTAAAACGCAGAGTGGGTATATTACGTGGGTGCCAGTTTTGAAGAGCACAATCCCTAGCTCGACTATGTTGTAAAATTAACATTGTTTCGACTGGCACTTGATCTTCAATCTTTTGAACCAGTTTGTTAAGAAATCCCAGGTTCAGATGTTCATTGGTACCTTGACTAAAGTAAGTCATTAGCAATGTAATAATTGCAAACTTAGATGATAAGTCCATGTTGCCAAACCTCTTATAAGCAATGCAGAGAATGAACTGGATGGGCCACTCATTTAAATTGAAACTTGCGAAAGATGTCCTTAGTGGAGTGACTTAGGATGACAGCTGACAGTCGATAGATTGAATGAGCACTCATTAAATTAGTACAACTTCTTCAAAGGATAGCATGTACTTCTCAGCGACTAAAAGACTTCATCATCTAAATGACCTAATATATTGATCCCATTTCTCTGATAAATTTAAAGAGTTTTTAGTAGTTCTTCGACAGGGTATATATTCACCTTAACAAAGTTACAGAAGGTTTTTTTTGACAAAAAACAGTGCACATTGATCTATCGGTTGCTTTTAATAAACTTAAGTGTAACCATAAGTGTAGTATCTAATATTCATGTGGATTTGTTAGGTACAGTAAAGATATAGACAATTTTATTTAAATTTAAACCACAAAAATGTGATTCCTCGATCTTAAGTTCCAGTTCCTGCGATGATGACCTCCAATGCAAATTTCAACGATAAAGACGAAAATGGCGAGGCCATGGCCACAACCAATTCAAGTGGTTAAAC